CACAGAATTCTAACCATTTGCGTAGGAGTTCTATTGCTAACAATAATTACAATTTAAAAGAATCTATTTCCAGAGACACACTCTTCTTTGTATCTTACCAAAAACATTCTGTCCCCTCCTCCCCACCCCTCCTGTTTAGTCACTGTACGCTGGAAGAACCACTTCTGTCCCACGCTCCTGGCACTTGGACCAGTGGGGTCTCTTCAGTTGGGAAATGAAGCCAGAGTGGCAGTTGCTGGGTTAGATCCAACATCTCCCTGTCTCCTCATCCTATTGTTCCATTCTACATCAGTTTTCAACATTTTTCAACCAACACACATATGACCTTTACCTATGCTCTTCTCTCACATAATATAAATGGACACACATAATCCGGAAAAATCAAATGAATTCTTCCTAGTGAGAGAATTCTCACCTATGGAGAAAGAGAATTAAAGGTTTCCATTTCCCATGTTAAACAGCTTGTTCTCTCCTCTCTCTCTTCTATTTTTGGTGGTGCTAGGGATTGAACTCAGGGCCTCACACATGCTAGGCAAGCACTCTTATCTGAGCCACATCCCCAGCCCTATATAATTGTTTTAATAACAAATACATTATTAGTTTTTAGGTTTCTTTCTTTTTTTTTTTTTTTGGAGACAGGGTCCCACTGTGTAGTTCAGGCTGGCTTTGAACTCACTATGTAGCTCAGGCTGGCCTCACACTTTGCAGCAATCCTCCTGCCTCAGCCTCCCAAGTGCTGGGATTACAAGCGTGAGCCACCACGCCCAGCCTAGTTTTTAGGTTTTTTTGTGTTTTTTTTTGGTACCGGGGTTCAAACTCAGGACCTAGTACTTTTGAGGCAGGCACGGTGCCACTGAGCTAAATCCCCAGCCCTAGATTTTAGTTTTGAAGTGGGAAAAAAGCAAAAAAATTTTTAAAGGCATCAGAATGTAAGAGAGCAACTAACACACCCTAGCAAATCTCAAAGCATAGTCTGGAGTCCCCTCAATACCCTCACAGCCTTTCCAGGAGTCATAAGCACTATTATGAACTAATAAGACACTTTTTGCCATATCCATTCTTTCAGAGTAAATTTCCATAGGTTGCATAAATATGTTATTGCAATAGACTTGACTGTAGAAGCAGATAAAAGGATCCAGCTATCATCTATTTGCAAAAGTATAAAATGCCATTTTTCTATCTGGGGGAAATATAGTTTTAAAAATATATTATGTATGTTAATATGCAATAGATTCAATATTTTAATAAATAACTATCTCAGTGATTTCAGTCTTCATTCCTAATATTGATAAAACCACATAAACAAAAGTTCTTTCAATAAATTTGCAATAATCTTTTTTTGGTACGGGGATCGAACTCAGGACCTTGCGCTTGCAAGGCAGGTGGTAGAACCACTGAGCTAAATCCCTGGCCTTGAAATAATTTTTAAGCATATAAAGGAGTCCTCTGACCAAACAGTCTGAAAGCATGCCATTAAGTGTGAAAAACACTACATTACTAACAAACCTTTATTGTGTTTTAGAGATCGCCTTTTTTGGCAGTACTGGGGACTGAATCCAGGGCCTTGCATACACTAGGCACACATTCTGCCCTTGAGCTACATGCCTCCCAACAGCAACCACCTCTCACCAAGCCATACCATCCTCACTCCACTGCTCTGAAATTCCTCGAATTTGGTGCTCAACACATTCTGAAGTGAACATTTTCTCTCAGTACTCGTTTGTTTGGTACTCCATGGGCAACCTAGAACCTACCAGTTCAGCTGCCTTGTAACTCACTACCCTTTCCAGCCAAAATAATTTGTTGGGTATTCATCCTTTTTGGTGCCTTCCTCTCTTTTTTCTCTTACACTTACTAAATAACGTTTTTAGATTGTGTCTGAGAACTACATTTTCTGATTCTATGCAGGACTGCTGCTATTGTCCATTTTTCTCATTCCCAATGCCGTTTTTCTCTGTGAGTTATATCAGTTTGGACTGAGCTGCTCATTTCACTGAGAATTTTATTTCGGATATTCTGTTGGATCTCATGAAGTTTCTAAAAAACTGTGCTGCTTTCTACTAAAAATTTTGGGGTCCCACCCACCTGGAATACTCTAAATGAAATTATTTGTTTTATTAATTAAATTAATTTATTTGGTTATTCATATCAATCACATAGTAAGGATCTGAGTGAAGGTTTAGGATTTCAAAATCTCAGAGGTGATCTCCTCTCCTCCACTCAGCTGGAAAAGCTGATTTTCTTGGGAGGAAGAACAAGATTATGAAATTATTTCTCATTCATTTTTATAGTATATTCCACTGGGAATCCAAATTTATTAAAGAAAGTTCAGGGCAGGAAACTGCTACAACCACCACTGGACTCTGCCCACATTCATTCTCCAGCCTCACTGCTCAGTCTTTCCTTTTTTCCCTTTTCTTTTCTTTTTTTATTTGTGTGTTACTAGGGATTGAACTTTCAACTACATCTTTAGTCCTTTTTATTTTTTATTTTCAGACAGAATTTCCCTAAATTGCCCAGGCTGGGGTCAAATCTGCAATCCTCCTGCCTCAGTCTCCTGAATAGCTGGTATTACAAGCATGTGCCACCACACCTAGTATGTACTCCCTACATTCTTGTCACTTTACTAGTACCTTTAAGATGTATTTTTAAATAGTGCATACACGTTTTTTAAAAAAATTATGAAAAATGGAATTCTCAGGAGAAAGTTTCATTAGCTTCTTAAAAAGAGAAATCCCGGGCCGGGGATTTAGCTCAGTGGTTTCGCCGCCTGCCTCGAAAGCACAAGGTCCCGAGGAGTTCAATCCCAGGTACTACAAAAAAAAGAGAAATCCCATCTTAAAAAACGGGCTTAGTCTTATCAAATAAATATTTTTAAATCTTTGTGAATTTCTTCTTTATCCTATTTTGTTCTTACTTCATGGTAAAATTATATAAGGATAGGTTAGTAGCAAATTTGCATTTTGAATCCATTACCTCATAGCACCTAACACCGCTTCTTCTAGGTTCCTTGAATATTTAATAAGTTAGCTCAAAAACATATTCCTAGCCACAGAGATGGCACAAGCCCATAATCCTAGCCCTCGGGAGGCTGAGCCAGGAGAATTATGAGTTCAAGGCCAGCCTGGCAACTAAGGGAAACCCTGTCTCAAAAACACCCCAAAACAAATAAACAAAAACAAATTTAAAAATCATATTCCACAGCCAGGTGTGGTGGCACATGCCTGTAATCCCAGCACTTAGGAGGCTGAGACAGGAGGAGCATAGCAAGTTTGAGGCCAGCCTGGGCTATGCAATAGGTTCAAGGGCAGCCTGAAGTACATAGCAGAAAAAAGAAAAAAATGTAACAACAACAAAAACATATTAACTTAATCTTCCAGCCTCCAAAAATTTCTATAAAAATTTAATAGAATAAAGTAATACTAAAGCAAATTTTTTTTTTTTTGGTACTGGGGATCAAACTCGGGTCCTTGCGCTTGCGCAGCAGGCAACAAAACCACTGAGCTAAATCCCCGGCCCTAAAGCAAATTTTTAAAAAAATTCATTCTGGGCCGAGATTTAGCTCAGTAGCACTGTGCCTGTCTCGCAAACACAAGGTCCTGAGTTCAATAGCCAGTACAAAAAAAAAAATTGAAATACTAAAGCAATCAAAACAAACATAAAATAGCTACCATTTTACTCTGGGGATGAAAACAAGAAAAAAATGACAAAATCAGGGAGGGAAAAAGCCCAGAAATTTAAAATTTAAGCTCTTTGTACATGGAAAAAATGATGGCTAAAGGCTTTTTGGGGGTATATCCAAGAAGCTTTAAGAGCTTTCAACCTGAAAAACCAGAACAAAGTACAAACACTGCTTTAGAAAAATACATCTAATTTAAAATAGGAAGGCCTTGAACACATTTAAGCGATGACTAGAAAAACAGACAAGAGATACCTGCCGGAAGAACTGTAGAAGGAAAAACCAACAGGATTTGCTGATTTATTGGATACTGATTACAAGCGAAAAGGGAGAGACACTGGAGTGATAATACCAGTGAGAAAAATAGCAAAGTCCAAAGAGGCCCCTAATTTTAGAAAAATCACTAGTTCAATCTCAGATACTGTAAATTTGAGATGATGATGAATTCCTACTTTCTCATTTGGGTTCCAATAGTATCATGTATCCTGCATACTGTTTGGGCTGGGAATTTAGCTCAGTGGTTCAGCCACCTGCCTCACAAGCAGAAGGATCCGAGTTCGATCCCCAGTAATAACAACAAAAAAAAGAAACCTACATACTGGTAGAATATTTTACTACAGAAATTGTCACATTGACTGTTATTAGTTGTTAATGAGTTTTTCTTCCTTATTAGACTATAAGTACCCCAGGAAAAGGAATTTAACAATGAATAAATTAATTAACTAATAACTAAATAGGAAACAAAAAAATCTTAGGCAGTTGGCAATACCAAATAGTAGCCTAAGAGAGAAATCACTGCTAGAGATAAAAAGGCAAGCCCTGCCAAGCATGGTGGTGCACATCTGTAATCCCAACTTTCTTGGAGGCTGAGGCAAGAAGACTGCATGCTCTAGCACAGCCTGGGAAATGTAGATACTTAAAGACCTTGTCCAAGGTTTAAAAATTTTAAAAGGCTGGGGATGTAGCTCAGTGAGAATGCCCTGGGTTTAATCCCCAGTAAAACACACACACACACACACACACACACACACAGAGACAAAAGTCTCAGAAATAATTTTCAGCCTAAATTCATGTAGATTTTTGCTTCTCTTTTGTGAACATTTCCAATTAGCAGCTGTACTTCTCAAGAATAAACCAGCATCTACATTTCAGGTTATATATCTAAAATATGGATGGCTTATTCATTTTCTGGGTTCATTTCTTTTATAAAAAGGCACTAAAAATTCAAAATACACATTTTAATTTGATCAAGGGAAACTACACACCGAGTCAAACCGATGTTCTTGATACCACAAAACAAGAATGAAACAGTGGCATTAACCTGGTCAAGACTTTGGCCTCCAAGCATGGAAATAACAGCTAGGGACTCATACCAACACACAAAAGTGGATTATCATGCCTCTTCAGCACAGAACAATGATGTCTGGGCTGGAATATGAATCAAGTCACCAAATCTGATGGTTTCCAAACTGCTAATTCACCCTACAAGACATGAAAAATAAAGAAATCAAAACAAACAAATAAAAAGAAATGAAAAATAGTAAAAAAAAAAAAAAAAAAAAGCAACACTAGTTCCCAAGTCATTATCCAGAGATGAAAACAAGTTGAAAAATGGCTGAGTTGCAGCAGAAGCACTGAAATCAGTGTACTCTGTCTCCTGCTGAAGTCCATGGTTTTATTGGACAGAAATATTTTAAATGAAGTAAAGAAAACAACTAAGATGAATTTTCTGTAGCAGACCCTGAGATAATGAAATTATAAAGATTAAAAGCCACTTGGTAAGGCTCACTTACAGCAAGTGGCTTTCATATTTTAAAATGTTATTCACTTTATCAGTTAATAGGCACCTTTTCTCTCACATAACAACCAAGCTAAGTCTCACACATGTACAAATACATAATAAAGTTTTATGTTTTGTTTTTATTTAATTTTTGGCAACACTGCAGATTGAACCCAGAACTTTCACAATGAGCTACATCCCCAGCTCTATTTTTATTATTTTGAGGCAGTGTCCTGCTAAGTTCCCCCGACTGGGCTCAAACTTGCAATCCTTCTGCCTCAGCCTCCCAGAGAGCTGGGGTTACAGGCATGTGCCACCATGCCCGGCTACAAAGATATGTAAGTTAAGCAAAAAGTGTAATGAAGGGCCTGGAGAGCATATACTTAGAATGTACAAGGCCCTGGGTTCAGTCTCCAGCACCAAGAAAATAGGAAAGCCTATGGACAACACACATGAATGTCTGATGGAAAAAACATGAACTTTGGGCTAACATAAACCCAGGTTCAGGGTTTATAGTATACTGTATATACTATATAAGCTATAGTATACTATATATAAGAAGTTACTTCAAATCTCCATACCTCAATTTCCCATTTGTAAATCTGGAACCAACCAGTACTTGTCAAAATTGCTAGAAGTTATACTTTAATTACAGAAAGCAAGTAGTATCATGCCTGGGCACTCTACAAATTCTAGCCACTACATCAGACTGGTATGGTTTTCTCCCTGACATGGCCTACACAAACTGCCTATCTTTTGGACTTGGGCTTTGAACAAGTTCTGTGCTCTGTAAACCCTGTCTTGAACAAGCTGTAAGTCTGTACCTTATCTGGCTGCCTGCAGTGACTTTTTATTTTTCTTTGTGCTCCACACCTTTGCTTTTGGTCCTGCCTCTCTGACTCAGGCAGCAGCTGTTATCCTTTCTTGGCCATTCTACACCATATATATTTTTGTGTGCTGTGTGATTTAATTATTACAGATATTAGTAACTAAGACTGGAAAAAAAGAACCTGTGATTGCCGGGGATTTAGCTCAGTGGTTTCGCTGCCTGCTGCACAAGCAGCTTAAGGACCCAAGTTTGATCCCTGGTACAAAAAAAAAAGAACCTATGATGGAGCTGGGTGTGGTGGCATACTCCTATAATCTCAGCACTCTGGGAGACTGAGGTAGAGGATTGCAACCCTCCCCTCCTCCACTGTTTAAATTGCTTTAAACAATTTAAATGTTTACTTTTTTTTTGGTACCAGGAATCAAACTCTTGCACTTGCACTTGCAGGGCAGGCGCGGCGCCACTGAGCTAAATTCCCAGCCCAGAAGGATTTCAAGTTTGACCCCAGCCTGGGCAATGTAGTGGCCTAGACAGACCTTGACTCAAAAAGGGGTCGGGGGCTAGGGATTTAGCTCAGTGGTTCCCCAGCCTGCCTCGCAACCGAAAGGTCTCGAGTTCGATCCCTGGTACCAAAAAAAAACCCCAATCAAAAAAGGGGTGGGGATGTAGCTCAGTGAAAGGCCCTGGGTTCAATGTGCAGTACTGCAAAAAGAGAGAGAAAGGACAGAAACAGAGAGAGGGAGAGAGGGAGGGAGAAAGAATGCTTATGATTGCCTACTTCATGGGTATCAAGTGAAATCCAGAGTACCCCGCAAAATAAAGCAGATGAGGTTGACACAGCTACTATTATTCAACAAACTCCAACATTGTGAAAAGACCACAGACTATGCTAATGCACAACTCACAAGATACATACAAACCTTTCCATGTAAATTAATTCTATGTGTGTGAAACTGAGCAACCAGATTCAAACTGTGGGCCTGGACGAGCAAAGCTGTGGGAAGCAAAGCCCTTTCAAAAAAAGGTAAACATTTAGGGCTGGGGATTTAGCTTAGTGGGGCCCCACCTGCCTGGCAAGCACAAGATCCTGAGTTCAATTCCTGGTACCAAAAAAAAAAGTAAACATTTAAATTGTTTAAAGCATTCCAACAAATGTTGCTGGCAGAGCTGGGCGTGGTGGCAGATGCCTGTAAACCCAGCATTTGGGAGGCTGAGGCAGGAGGATCAGTGCAAGTTCAAGTCCAGCCTGGGCTACATAGTGAGTTCAAGGCCAGCCTGAACAACATAGCAAGACCCTGTCTCAAAAAAAAAAAAAAAAGTTAGTGGCAAAGTGCCTCCAGTTTGGTTATACTATATGTACATTCAATATTTAATATTAGATTTTTTCTGATAATCTAAGGATATTCAGTTTAGTCATAAATTAAACAGTGATAGAAAACTGGGAAAGAAGTATGGAGAACAGGCAGTTAGGTATAACAAACAAAAAAAGAGTAGAATAAAAACACTTGTCCAATAGCCTCAGAATAACTGTATGAGTTAAGTACTATTATTTATTTTTAGTTTAGTAATATTTAGTTAATGATATTTTACAAATGAGAATCTAAGTTAAATGAGCTGAATCTAGAAATACATGTTTGTATCACTAGTCTGTGACTAAATGAATGACATTAGAGAAGAAACATAAACAAAACCATAGTTTCTTCATAATGGGGTTGTGGGAGACTACACTGACATTTACATTACACAAAATGTTCATCATAGTGAAGAGTTACAAGCAATGTAAATGTCCATAAATTATGCAATATTACATACTAAAAAATTTGATGGACTATTACATATTTAAAAACTGATATCTGAGACTGTTGGGTTTTTTTGGTACTGGGGATTGAACTCAGGTCCTTATGTTTGTGAGGCAGGCGCGGAACCACTGAGCTAAATCCCCAGCATAATGTGGAGACTTTTTAATGACATGATACGCTAAATGTTAGATGTTCTGTACCACCAGCATCACTCCCTAAGGACACACTGATTGTTAAGGATACATTCATTTTCTTTTGGAAAATTATCTTTTTCTACTATGTTCCATCATGGCAGGAAGGTAAATCCGGGTGCCATCACAACAGCTGTAGAGGCCCAGAAAGATTCCTTCTGGATTCTTTCCTATCATTGTTACAGGAGATGTAACACATCAAGAGTTGGGTACACAACCTTAAGCACTGCTAACACTTTCAAAGGACTTTGAATCTTGAGCAGAATGTTGTAAGGGCAGAGGAACAGGGACTGAATCTACTGATGTCAGTGGTGGTGTCCAGCAGAGACTCTCCAGTGATTGTTTCAGCAGTATTTCTGGAGCCAGTTGGTTCCTCTTTACTCCAAGTTCTCCTGCTTCCCACTGATCCAGGGAGCTTTCAAAAGCCTTCTAATAAACCTTTTTATTTAAATCATCCAAAGTCTATTTCACCAGCTTACAACCAAAGAAACCTAACACATACGGAAAATGCTTTATATTCTAAAATAAACATGTCCAAAACTCAGGATATGCAACTCTATACCATGTATATAAACAAATCTATTTGTAAATACTTATGCGTATATAAACACAGAACAGAGATGAAGTTACAACCAAATTTTGACAAACACTGTATCTGATTAACTTTAATCCAAATTCCTTTGCCTGGCATAGGAGACTCCAACTTGGCTTTTCTTCCACCTGTACAAAACTCCTGCTAAACAACTTTAAGTTCCCTGGAAGCAGATTCACACAGTAGACCCTTTGTTCAACCTGCCTTTGTTCATTCAGTCCAAGTCTCCTAGCTCACTCCCTATTTAATTGTGCCTAGCAAACTCCTATTCTTCCTTCAAGATCTGGCCTAAACATGTCAATTTTGCAAGTTTCCCATCAACTTCACAGTGCAGCTCAGTATTTCTTCCTTGGTGATGGCAAGGACTTTGTCCACACCTCTGTTAGCACTTTTTGAAGACAGGAATTCTTTCAGTGACCTTTAGAGCCAGAAGACTTTGCACAGCAAATCAACAGTTCTTTCGTTTCTACTTCTAAGAAGGTACTGTGCTCACTTCGGCAGCACATATACTAAGAAAGGTACTGCTGGAGATTTAGCTCACTGGCGCCATGCCTGCCTCACAAGCACAAGGTCCTGAGTTTGATCCCTGGTACAAAGAAAGGAAGGAAGGAAGGAAGGAAGGAAGGAAGGAAGGAAGGAAGGAAGGAAGGAAGGAAGAAGGTACTGAGTCTATATGGTAAAAAGTCTACTCTAAGTGCATGAGCTATAATCAGAGAATTGGGCCTAATTTGCTCTTCTGATAACAACTAAGAAAAGTGCTCAGCATAAGGCACTTGTAATGACAGGTGACTGCGCCCTGGGTCATAGAGCAATGGTAGGTAAAGGCAAAAGGACAAAGCAAGACTCTTTTTTTTTGATACCGGAGATCAAACTCGGGACCTTGCGCTTGCGAGTCAGGTGGTGGAACCACTAAGCTAAATCCCTGGCCCAAGACTCATACTTCTTAATTTCTGAATTTTTAAAACAGTCAGTCTTATGGTTTAGATCTAAAATGTTCCCTAAAACCTCATGCACTCATACCTTGGGCTTTTGAAAGGTGACCGGATTATACAGGAGTTAGAAGGTAGGATCTGGTTAAAAGAGGAAGGTCAGCCAGGTCCGGTGGTGCACCCCTATAATCCCAGCCCTTGGGAGGTTGAGGTAGGAGGATCTCTGAAAGTTCAAACCTAGCTTTGGCTACAGAGTGAGTTCAGAGCCAGCCTGAACTACAAAGGAAGACCCTGCCTCAGAAAACAAAACAAAACAAAACAAAAAAGGAAGGTCACTGAGGACATGGCCTGGAAGTGTTTAT